CAGCGCCAACAGCGGTGGGTGGCTGACGGTCGTTGAATGGGGTAGGCCAAAAGGTCACCAGTTTGCCTTCTCCATGCTGTTTTCATGATGAAAATCGAGCGAACGTTGTAAATACGGCTAGAATTTTAATTTTTGTTCGAGTTTACATGCAATCTGCTAATATATTTGTTTACTTTTTGTGTATATACATTTCGTTCGTATTTACTTCTTTCTTTCGTGATCGGAAGACGATTATTAGTCCCCGTTCGGACGCAGTCCGAAAACGGGGACTTATGTTTTGCCCTGTGTGCGTTCGTCCGTCCGTGCGTGCGTCCGTGATCACCTGTATCTCGAACATGCATGGACCGATTAAGTTCAAACTTCACTCATACATCACACCTTATATGGGACATATGCACATGCATTTTTTTCATGATCCGATTAACGATAGCCCAATAGCGGCCATTTTAAGGCCGAAAATGCATCAAAATCGCACATTTTCACCATTCCGGACCCGGATCTCAGTTATGCATGGATGGATTTTGTTCAAATTTGGTACATACATTAAACATAATAGGACCTTGATGCACGTCATTTTTTTTTTTTGGATCGGGTTCGAAATGATCTGCTTTGAATGTATATGTCACTCAAATATGAACGGAACGGGGACGTGTCATTGACAATGACTTGTTAACAATACAGCTGTAAATTGAAACCACTGTAGTTGCGTATTGTGAGCAATAAGTGGCAACAATGTCGGACGACAATGAATTCAGGCGATTGACACATTGCCGTGAATACACTCGATAACTGCTTGCAGACTTCCAGTGGTCATTGTTTATGTTTGGACTCGTGAAACAATAGCAAAATAAAGGGTTGGGCAACTACTCTTTTGTTTAGGCTTGGGAAGAACAATGCAAGCTTTTTTACAAATAATTTCAGCTGGGTGTACGTTGGTGGGCGGGTGTTGAGAGTTACTAGGTGGCCGTACAACTTGATGGGCGGGCCGCCCACCTAAAACCCCTTGTGGAGAACACTGATTTATGTCTTGTTGTCAGTACTTTTCTTTGGCCTACCATATTTGAATGAATTGTCTTACTCCCCATCTCACAGGTGAAAGAGTACAATCATTTGAAGGAAGTAGCTGGTGCTCAGGCCGCTCAGTATCTCCAGGAATTGGAAAAGTCAAACAGAGAACAGAAATCTGATCAGGATAGGTTAGACAGCGAGAGACATAAGAAGAATGAATTACAGGCTAAAGTGAAACAGAAAGAACATGAAATGTAAGGGTCATTTCATTTCATTTTATTTTATTTTATTTTTCTCTTCACATTCACACTATACCATATTGGAAATGCCTAAAGCAAAAACTATGTTTATTGACCATCCAAGAACTTGATTAAATTGGTGGTCTTTTTATGGAGGTTAAATTATTTTTTTATGAATTGCCAACTTTGACATAATATTTGTTCAGAAAATAATTAATATTACTAAAAGAATGGGCACCTAAGTCAGGTTGAGACAGGTAGTCTTTTATACACAGGTTACTCATATGTTATGTCTTAGGACTATAGACAGGTAGTCTTTTATACACAGGTTACTCATATGTTATGTCTTAGGACTATAGACAGGTGGTCTTTTATACACAGGTTACTCATATGTTATGTCTTAGGACTATAGACAGGTAGTCTTTTATACACAGGTTACTCGTATGTTATGTCTTAGGACTATAGACAGGTGGTCTTTTATACACAGGTTACTCATATGTTATGTCTTAGGACTATAGACAGGTGGTCTTTTATACACAGGTTACTCATATGTTATGTCTTAGGACTATAGACAGGTGGTCTTTTATACACAGGTTACTCATATGTTATGTCTTAGGACTATAGACAGGTGGTTTTTTATACACAGGTTACTCATATGTTATG